TACACCCGGCAGTGCATATTTCTTGTAATATTGTAATATGTCATTAAACTGTCATCAAAACTGTCACCTTACTGGATCAGGCATCTGCGGCAAAGTCAAACAATAAGCATTTTTCCTTATGATTCTCTAGAGTTAGGCAAGCAACTGTGGCGAGTTTTGAAAAGTTTACACGAAGTCTTGAGCATTAATTTATCCTCTGTTAGATCTATGACAAGGGAATATCGCTGAAATAGTCGACATTTTAAAATTTGCTACCATTACTCTGTCAGCTGTTTGTCTTTGAGAGCATTATTTTGTGATTAAGGTCCTTAAAACCCATGGATTAAAGTCAAATGAGAACTATCCATTGTTGATGACTTTGATTTAGTCCAGCTCCCTGGCAATTTTTAAATTTGCTTTTTTTTCTCTAATTGCCACATCGTTGGTCTTGGTCAGGCGGGCCAACTCGAGACGCTGAAAAAATGAGCCTTACCAGTAACCTTTTCTCCGCATCTCCTTAAAGTAAATTCTCATAGAAATTAGGCAAGACTAAGACATGAAAAGCTAAACGAACAAAACATTATCAAAACCACCAAAGAGACGTATGCTTTTTATAGGATGTACATAAAAGTTGTGAGTTCACCTGCCGACGCAAAGACAATGTCTATTTTTTTCGCATTTCAGACTGGCCCGATTCCTAGCAGCTTGTCCGTATTTGTTTAAAGCCATTCTAGGTCCAGTAGGAAGAATAACACCTGATATGCTCATAAGATACAAGATTTGTAGAGTTAGTACAATAAGGAAAATTTTCTACGGGGCAGGTAATACTTACATTTGTATATCTGTAAGTAGTTAGCAATCACTAAGGCCAGTAACATAAACTATGATCCTGTTAAGGCTCGCATATGATCGTTTTTGTCGCGGGGATTAGTAAAATTATCATATGACCCGTCTGGCCCCGCTCGCGCAATCCCATAGAAAGGTGTACCAAAAGCTGACGTGTGCAGGGCTGGACGGGTTGACGTGAGCCGGTCGGGAAAAAGCCATCCGGCTCTGCTTCTCTTGTACGCCTTTATTGCACAAAAAAAAACAAACGAACATTCTTCGCTTTTGTTGCATAAAAAAAAAAAAAAGAAGTGACAACAGTGAAAAAAAAAAGAGAAAATAAGTAATGTTTTCGATGAATTGTGAGTTTCTTGTTCTGACTTAAGAAAATAAATGAAAAGTTTTTTATTGTAGAATCGTTTTTGTGGTATTTCGCGCGCGCCAATCTATGGCGTTCCATTTAAGTCAAAACAAACTTTTCAAATTTTCAAAACTTATAGTCTGAGCGTATGTGGAGAGATGTATGCGGGCCATGCGTAAACCTCACTTGATGGTGGATGAAATTTTGACCTCAAGACTCACTTAAAGATGAATCATCTCCGATTCTGTCCATAGGTTTATTACG